CATATCGAAAAATAGCGAAATACTTACGTTAACGTTAACTTTCGAAGGTTTTCACTAGAAAAAATTTCCTGATGAAGCTGAAAAAAGTTAGGTAGATAATAAAGGTACAAAGTTTCTCTCAGAGTCAGAATTAAAGTTACCAAAATCACTTAAAGACATGTTGTTGAAATTGGTGAAGAAAGTGAATTGGGATAAAGAGAAACGTACAAAAATTCAAACAGTTGGAATAATTCATGCTGGTATGTTCTTCTTATGTCTTTGAGAATCATTGGATTTTCATTGCTAACTAATATAGTTTATAGGTTTGATGATTATGCCAATCTTTTTAGACAATCCCAAGAGGTACATCTGCAGGCTTCAACGTGGTGAATTGATGGAAGTTCCAGATAATGAAGAAAATTTTCCTTCCATTCTTACAATTCTCGCATCTGTTCTAAACATAAAGGTTGGTTAAATTCTTGTTTTTCATCTATTAAGTATGTATACCTTTCTGTACTAATATAAGATAATGTATTCATGAATATTCGATCGTAATTCGAGAGACAATGAAGGTAGTTCAAGCAAAAAGACAGACTAAATCATATAAAAGGGCCAGTTTTCGAAAGTGACCTCTGGATGAAAATGATTGTTATCTATCTCCATGTTTATCAACCCCAAAAAATGAAGAATTACGTCCATCAACTCCTTGTCCTGGCTCTCCATCAGAACGATCTGATTTATTTTCATATTTAGAATAGATTTGGGAATGTGTAGTATTTCAAACTAGATTTAATAATAGGTTCAAAATTTTTTGTTGTTTTAGTTGAAAAATCATGGTGATTTATTATGATGTATTACGAATAAAAATTTATATTACTATAAAATATTAATCTTTATCTATGCTAATAAATAAAATTTGAATAATTCGCATTTGTATAAAAGTTATTGTTAAAATGCAATCTGAAATTGATTTATTGAAACAAGAGAATGTTAGACTTATAGCTAGAATCGCAGAATTGGAACAGATCGCGAAAGAAAAAAATAAGCTTGAGGTTAGAATTGTGGAATTAGAACAGACTACAAAGTTAAGTCAAACAGAAAATGCCGAGCTCAAGAATGAAATTGCAAAATTAAAACGAGCTGTTAAGAATATTGAAAAGCAAAATCGAATAGATACTAATGATTTAAAATCTTCAGAATATTCCACTCCATTACCTAACAAGAGTTGTTCAAATGGTGAAAATGCACAGATTAAAAATTCTTCAACTCACCATGAAGCAGATAAATCTATGACTAGCACTGACTTAGTAACTTTAGACATTTCAGAATAGGTGGTTAACACAATTTCCGATGCATCTAACCTTAGTGAAACTTGCTCCAGAAAATCTAAATCATTAGAAGATAAAGAAATTGATGTCTTTTTAGATTCAGAAAATAAAAAAAGGGTTAGTAATGAGATAAGGCAGAGGAATAAGGAAAAAAAGCTATTACGTAGTAATGAAGTTTCCATTTCTCAGGATCAAGACTTATCTTTAATTAATCAGGATACTTCAACAGAATCTGAAAAGACAATAACATCCTCATCATTATGTGATGCAAAAACTGTGACAAAATATCACGATCTTAACAATTCTGACACTTCCTCCGAAATGCTTGAATCAGATGATCAAATCGTAGAAGGTTTAATACAAGAGATAACTTGTAATTAAGAACAAAATATTGTTTCCTCCGAAATCAACCTATCCTCAAATAACGGTAAGATAGATTTTACTGAAATTAGTAAGTCTTGTATACAGGATATAGATCCAGGTTCTTTGCAAAGTTTATCTGACTTATTTGATAAAGCAATTAAATTGGATCAAAAACAAATTTTGTGCTGGTATTATTATTCTCTGGAATTCGAAAATAAGGTTAAAAGTCTTACAGGGGATGGTAAGATCAAAGATAAAACTGCCAGATCGCAAATATATAAAGAAATGAAACCTTTTCTGCCTAACATTACTGATGTAAATTTGCGTAAAAAAACTCAAAGAGCTTGAAAAATTCTTAAACTATTTGGAGAAGGAGGAGTAGGTGTAGATAAAATCAAATACATTATATATAGCGCAAGTACTATTTCGAAATTGAAAGATGCTCAAATTCAACATATCATAAATCAGATGACTTCAAAAACCATGACAAAATGTCACGATCAGACTAATTCCGAAGTAAGTGAATCTATCCCTTCATCTTATATCTATAATTCTTCAGGTCTAGATAATCTGTCAAAAGTTGAGGTAAGTGCACCATTCACGTCTCAAACTGAAACAAAGACGTTACCTGAAAAACAGAATAATCCAACTCATGACCATGCTTATTTTCGTAATAAGATATTGTTGTGATACAGTCAGACTCCTTTATAGTCACCTCCCATATAGTCACAAAATTGACATAGTCACATTTATATTTTTACCAATTATTTTACTATTTATTTTACCTCTGTATAAGCACAACTGCATTATAGTCACTATCACATTTTATTATTGACCGCCTATATGAATTGTTCTCTATAAAGTCACGTATCATGTGAATTTTAAATCGGCCAATAATAATTTAG